TACCATCTTCGGATGGGAAGACCGAGCATCGTCGAGATGGCGATATTCCTGGAATATCTACATTTTCGGCGCAATTCCTACCAGAATTGCAGCTGACTTCTCTGTAAAGACTGATCGGCTGATTGATTTGGAATTGCAAGGGACCCAGAGGAGCTGAAATAATCTTACGAAACAGAACGACGCGGGAAGACTCACGCTACCTGGCTATAAAACTTACTACAAAGCTACAGTAATCGAAGTGACGTGGCGTTAAGTACAGACATCCAGGCCGATGGAACAAAATCGAGAGTCCAGAAATAAACCCATGCATCCACGGCCAATCGAGTTTTTAGAGACTTTGCCAAAACCAATGGGGGAACGAACATCTCTTCTTCGAGTGGCGCAGAAAGAACTGGTTATCAACGTGCAGAAGAACGGGTTTAGGCCCCTAAGTCACGCCACACATAAAAACTCAAAACGGGTCAAAGAGTCAAATATAGGAGCCAAAACTATCAAACTCTCAGATGAAAATATCGGAGTCAATCTTCGCGACCTTGGATTTGGCAAAAGATTCTTAGATCTCACACCAGAAGCACGAGCGGCAAAAAGAAATACACTTTCAACGTTACTCGGGTAGAGGAATGTTTTATTAACTGACAGACGAATTTGACAATATTGAAAAATCCTGGAAAGTCAACTCTCTATCGGGAGGGTGTGATCGATCGCACTTTGTCGCAGGCTGTTCAGTGACTCTTGTCCGTATCGACATTGTCAAGACATCAAAAAAGGTGGAAATCGGTCCAGGAAGGAAAGGCACCATCGATGTGTTTACAACGGGCTGGCATGTAAACAGACGCGCATCGATGGTCTGGAAACGGCCATCGTAAGCGGCACTTCTGTCCCCGGTAAAGCCGCATACGTGAGGGGTTCAGGTGTCACCCGCCTGTTCAGGTTGACTCGTGTTAAGGAGAAAACATGTTACTGGAACTCTGTTTGGCCTTCGTTTCCAGGTGTTGCTGTGGCCAGCTCACCAACCAGCACGTCCCCCCTCTGCCAAGTGTGACGTCTGCCAAAAATGGGGAAGAACACAGAGAGGCGGAGCCCCAGCCCGAGAAGTGGTCGGTGGCCAAGCACACGCAGAGCTACCCGACGGACGCCTACGGGGCTCTCGAGTTCCAGGGAGGCGGGTCCTCCAACAAAGCCGTGGTAAGGGGCCTTTCCCGGGGTGCCCGGGCCCACGCGAGCCTCCCGGCCCGTGTCCGCTTCCCATTGGCGTGTGAGCGGGGAGCGCTGGGCAGCCCGGCCAGTGCGGCGGGGCGTCCACACGGCCACCCCTTCCGGCTCATTCTGCGCCCCACTCCCGCGTGCCCAGCCAGACCGTTTCCACGATGTCATTTTGTCTCGCTGGCCCAACATCATTGTTCAAATAAAATTCACTTGTGTCCCAAACGCCCAAAAGCACAGGGTCTTCTGGGATGGCACCCAGCAAGCATCCTGGTGTGGACACAAAGAAGCCGTTCACAGGGCCAAGGCCATCGACTGCCTCTTCACCTTGAAGGGAAGGGCGAGTCCGGCTTGGCCCATGACCCCGGTGGCCGGTGGGCCACGCCCTCGACCAATCCTGTCCAGCTGCTGGGGCTGTGGCTCTACCTGAGCCGACCTTGGGGACGGTCCCTTCAAGATTGGGGTCAGCAAGTAAAACGAAGACTCCCAGTCATACTGGAATTTCGGATAAACAATCGATCATTTTTTATTAGCATAAGTATGTCCAAATATCACATACTTATCCTAAACCTTTTTCCATGGTTCATATAAAATTCAAAATCGACTGGGCTAAATCGGGCATACCTCCCATGTTCCTTTCCATCACCTGGCCACAGACTCACCGAGGCCCCGGGCCCCGAGGGAGAGAAGGCCAGACAGCTCTCGCTCGGTCAGGAGCCACGGCCCTGGCCCTGGTGACAGGAGAGGCCAGGCCGAGGACGAGCGCTGGGCGCCCCCCACTCCTTTGCAGTATATCCGCGTGTCCTATGACACCAAGCCAGACTCGCTGCTTCACCTCATGGTAAAGGACTGGCAGCTGGAACTCCCCAAGCTCCTAATATCCGTGCACGGAGGCCTCCAGAACTTCGAGATGCAGCCGAAGCTGAAGCAGGTCTTTGGAAAAGGGCTGGTCAAGGCCGCCATGACCACGGGCGCCTGGATTTTCACGGGGGGCGTCAGCACTGGTAAGAACAGAGCCTTTCTCTTGCAATCAGTGTGCAAACCCGGCACCAGGATGGTCCCTAAGAGCTCTCGAGCGTGGGCGGGCCTCAGGGGACAGTCGCAAGCAGGCGACTGTCACAGTACAACGGGTCACGGGAGTTTCCCGGGTTCCCAGTACACACGAGTTATGTTCATGCGACGCCGCAGTCGAGTGGGTGTGCCACAGCTTTACGTCCAGAGGCCGTGCACGTACCTCGGTTCAGAAAACACTCCGTTGCTAGAAAAGCTGTCATCTGAGCCCGCTGGAGGACGCGCCGGCAGAACCGCAGGGGACTCCTCGGTTCTGAACCGCCCTGACCTTCCATTTATAAAATCTTAGTACCTCCAAAGGGCAGTAAAACAAGGTCTTTAAGATCAAAAACAAAGGTACCGCCTCCTGATAACGTTTGTGACAGAGCCTGAGTCCGCCCGGCGCTGGTTGTATGGGGCACGCTGGCGGTCACGGTCGGTATCTCCGGCCCCCGCCATGCGCCCTGTATGAGCCTCCTTTTTGCTGAGGCTCGCGACAGTCCCTTCCCCATCAAATGGGAGAGGAAACCGAGGTGCAGAGAGGCTGTCTGGGCGTCCGGGGACTGTCACAGGTGCAGGTGTCCCCACCGCGGGTCTCAGGAACGAGCAAAGCAAACCACTGCACCGCAGAGTCCAGGAGCCCGCGCGGGCGACGGGGTACGGTGGCCCCGGACTCCGACGCGCTTTCTTTAAGTGACGAAGTCTGCCGTGTCTGCGTCCTGCTCTGTCGGGAACGGACGGCTGAGGCACAGGGCCTAAAGTGTGACTTATGGCTGCTCGCAGGGGTCGTCAGCCACGTGGGGGACGCCTTGAAGGACCACCCCTCCAAGTCCAGAGGCCGGCTGTGTGCCGTGGGGATCGCCCCGTGGGGCATCGTGGAGAACAAGAATGAGCTGGTCGGGAAGGACGTAAGCATCTGCCCCCCGACACTGGCCAGCTCTAAACAGCAATCTTTGTTTTGAGATCGCTGTAGATTCACCTGCAGTTGTCAAAAAAATAAGAAAGAGGGGTCCCCTGCGCCTTCCGCCCAAACCCAATGGCACCGCCCTGCAAAACCATGGCACAAAACACAGCCGAGATGCTGTCACTGAGACAATCAAGCCGGAACGTCTCCTCACCCCTGGGGGCCCCGTGTTGGGGTGTACCATCCACATCTAACACCCCCCCCAACCCCAGCCCCCGGTCCCCGCCCATCTGCCCTCGTCTATGATCTCGTCATTTCGAGAACGTCGCATAAGTGGGATCACGCAGTAAGTAGCCTTTGAGGGCGGCGTTTCCCGCTCCGCACGTCCGGCGGCCGTGTGCACCGCAGTCTGTCCCTGCGCGTGGCTGAGTCGTACTCCGCGGTACGAACGGGCCCGTTGGTTTGACCGTTGCCTCCAGGCGGGGTCACAGACCCGTGCGCGTGAGCATCCAGGGGCGGGATTCCGTGCTAACCCGGGCCTTTGCTTCTCTGTGACAAATGCCCAGCAGTACGATTGCTGGGTGTTCATGACCTACAATAATTTGTTTTTCCTAACTTAATATAGAAATCTGCAAAAACAGAACCCCTTCATTAGAAGGATAAGGGCGTGAGCCGGGGCCGCACGGACGTGCACCCTGGCTCCCCAGGAGTCCCCGCATCCCGGCCGGGAGCACTGACCTGCCTCGTGCGCCTCGCCAGGTCACCCGCGTGTACCAGACCATGTCCAACCCCCTGAGCAAGCTGGCCGTGCTCAATGACGCACACACGCACTTCATCCTGGCGGACAACGGCACCGTGGGCAAGTACGGCGCGGAGGCGAAGCTTCGGAGGCAGCTGGAGAAGCACATCTCCCTGCAGAAGATCAACACGCGTAAGTCCCGGGGAGGCCAGAGACGCCGGGCCGGGCTGGACCGGACCGGACCGGACGCCGGCCCCAAAGCTGGCACCTCCATCCCGGTTAGGGCAGCGGGCACCCTTAGCCCCCGGCCGAATCGCGCTCGCTGAGCGAGGACGCGATGCTCTGCCCCGGTTCCCCAGGCCCTGCAGACACTGTCCTCGGGCCGTCACCGCGTGCCACGTGGTCCAGGGCTTCCCGCTCCTGATCGTTACTGCGGTTATTTCTTACGTCCGAACAGAAAGACTTAGTGTGGTTTCCTCTATCGATATGCGTCGATAAACTGGCCTTTCACCCAGACCAAGTCGGGCCGGGTGAGGGAGCCCCGGCGAGGGCCCCGGGAGCCATCGCTCCCGACAGGGCACTGCCCGCGCTGGCCCGGGCGACACAGCTGGGGGGAGCGTGCAGAGGTCAAGCTGGCGGGAAGGGGGGACCCTCAATCGGATGGAAGGGCTGTAACCTGTTAGAGCGAACACGCCTGCTGTGGACTCGGCCGCTTCGCACTCCGGCGACGATGACAGTCAAACCGATGGCGAGAAACGATCCTAAAGCGCCTTCGCCTTCCCCATCACGGCTAAGGGGCTTTTCGCGAACGGCAGCCTGGAAATGTCAGCGTGGAGCATAAGTAAGGGGGTCGTGACGCTGCACGTGGCTAGACGTCGTCTACGACGACAAGTCTGCATTTCCGAGAATCGGGATAAACTGGCTGGTGACCGAGATTTTTTTATTCTTCTTGGATCGTGAGTTTCACGCCGGCCACGTGACCGGTGGGCTTCCCTTTGTCATCCTTTGCCTAGGGCTCTGAGTGGGGCAGGGACAGCAAAGGGGTGCTCAGTGGTCACCTCTCACGGCACGGAGCTGCGGGGAGCCCAAACCAAGAAAAGACAACCCAGCTCTTTCTAGAAAAGGAGGTGATTGGCCGCCACATTCTCGAAGCCCTGGGTGCCAGGCCTCGCTGGGGGCGGAACCTCCAAGGCAGCGTCTGTGCCATCCTGGTCCACCTCTCAGCCCCTCTCGGCCAGGGCCTGGCACAAAGCACCCCCCAAATACACCTCTGCTGAGCTGGGCTTAAGCGAGGTTGCTCTGCTAGAGGCTGGCAAAGCCGTTCAGAATATTTAAGGGTCCCTGAGGGCAGAAGGGCCTCCGGGAAGCAAAGCAGAAACTCTGGATTCCTGAAATTCTTAGGGCTTCCGGCAGATTTTATCTGAAGGTCTTCAGACCTGAGACCAAGGACGCTGCTACTTGCCATTGGCTAATGCCGATCAAATGACCCCCATGACACCTGGGGAAACAGGCTCAGAATATAATCTGTCACGGCCAGTCTGGGGTAAGACTGTGCGGTGGGCCAGCCCGTCGGCTGCCCCTCCTCCTCCAGCACCCCGGGCTCCGGGGAACCCTCCGCTGCCTCCTGCCTGCCAGAGCCCCTCGGTCGGTTGTGCCGCCGAAAGCTGGCCTGTCCCTGTCACGTTGCTGAAGAGTCCCAGCATCTAGGAGAGACGGATGGAAGAACTAACAAGCCGAAGGGCTGAGGGGGTCGGCGAGCTTGTCCCCCAATAACTCACTGCCCGTTCCAGGCACTGGAGGCAGAAGCGACCCCACGACGTACCACATTCAAACGCCGCTGCAAGTTCACAAAACACTTTCTTACATTTTTTACTTTGGGGCTAAAGGAGGCATGGTGGCGGCTCACCTCTGGCAGGGGGGTCCCCCGTGGCTCACGGCGGCTGGGTGCTCAGGCCACCATCACAGGGCAATACACGAGGGGCCAGGGAGCGAAGCGAGCTCACGGGGAGGCTGCCGTACCCCTTTCACTGCGTCGTGCATGAAGGGACGGCCATCAGGGTGGGACCGAGACACCCGGGCAGGGCAGCGAGAGAGAAGTTCTCTTAGCAAGCAGAAACTTCCAGATCCCTGCCTCTGCCCTGGAAGCGCCGTGTGCCTGGAGCTTATCACACACGATCCGGGAGGTGCGTGACCTCGGGCTCTGCGTTTGCATCAACGCTGGGAACGGCTGGCCATCGGCCATCGCGCACTGTGTCCCTCTAGGCTGCTAGGGAACTCGCAGCGTGGGGAACGTCCGCCCCGCCACAGAGGGTTCAAGCTCAGCCCCAGGACGGGGGGTGGGGGGGACAGCGCGGTGACGCCATGTGCGTTGCAGGGCTGGGGCAGGGTGTGCCCGTCGTGGGCCTCGTGGTGGAAGGCGGCCCGAACATCTTCTCCACCGTCTTGGAGTACCTCCGGGAGGACCCTCCGGTGCCCGTGGTGGTGTGTGATGGCAGTGGCCGTGCCTCCGATGTCCTGTCTTTCGCTCACAAGTACAGCGAGGAAGGAGGGTGAGCGGTCTTCCCTATTCCGGGGGGCGGGGGGTTCGCCGCCCTCTCTCAGGCCGAGATGCCAACCGCAAGGGGCGCCGTCAACCGTCCCGAAAGCGTTAGATGGGCGGGAGGCACAGGTCGCGTTCCAGTCCACGGGTGGCACGCGCGGGCGCTGTCCAGATGTGGGGATCCTCACAGGATTCCCGGGGGGCACACGCTGTCCTCATACGCCGGCTCCCTCCTCAGGTTTGCAGCCCGGGACGCAGGACGCAGTTTCCACTTTGGTCCCTTGCTGTCTGCCATCCCCGAAAAGCTGCCCGCCAAAGACACCGGGCGGGCGGAGAGTCGGCTGCCCGGGCCTCGTGCGCAGACTGAATCGGTGCCATTTTCGTCTCTTTCCTGCTTCCTCTGAATAGGGTGATAAACGACTCTCTCCGGGACCAGCTTCTCGTCATCATCCAGAAGACATTTAATTACGGCAAGACGCAGTCACAGCAGCTGTTTGCGATTTTGTCGGACTGCATGAGGAAGAAAGAACTCGTAAGTGTCTGGAGCTTCTTTCCCGGTCCGCTCCATAGGGAGAGTCGTGATCATCACCTTCCAGATCCTGCCCGTGTGTGCGGGAGCTGTTCGCATCTCTCAGCTCAGCCTTTTCCGAGGCCGTGTACAAATCCGCACCAAACCGGCGGTCACACCCGCGGGTGGCGAGCAGCACGGGTGCCCGCCGAGGGGAACCTGGGTGCTTCCAGTGGTTCGGACGCGGTAGGTGACGTCCTGCCTGAAGGGATGTCCCCCGCCTCGCCTCCCGAGCCAGGCTTATGAGGAACAGGCACTATGAGTGCACACGTAAGGAGCCTCTGCAAATTCTAAAGCTACCCATCCCGCGTGGCATCGGGTGGCACTGGATTATCGGGGCGATCGCTTCGTAAGCTGCAGAAATGTCTAATCACTGTGCTGCACACCCGAAACTAATATGGTGTGTCCACCGTAACAAAAAATTTAAAAAATGATTAAAAATAAAAATAGAAACATTCCAAGTCTACACACTTGCCACAAATGTAGGCGTCCCTCAGAGATATCGTGGGTTCAGTTCCAGACACCGTGACAAAGCGAATATCACGATGATGTTAGTGACTCGCACCAAGTCTTTGCTCTCCTGGTGCATGTACAAGCTTTGTTCACACTGTGCCGTAGTCTACGACACGTGCGATGGCCTTACCTCCGAGAAACGTACACGCCTCAGTGAAAACGCACTTCACTGCTAAAAAGCGCGGACCACCAGCTGAGCCTTCGCGAGCTGTCACCTTGCTGGCGGGCTGTCACCTTGCTGGCGGGGTTGTCACCTTGCTGGCGGGCTGTCACCTTGCCTGCGGGCTGTCACCTTGCCTTCGGTTTGCAAACGCCACGCCTGCAGCACACAATGAAGGAAGCACCATGAAGCGAGGCCGGCGTGTGCATCGGATCCGCGTAGAAACGGTTCTGTCGTCTCCCGCGGCGAGTGAGATGTTGGGGGGTGCGTAGGTCCCGGATGAGCAGACGTGGCGGACCCTGGCGCGGGAATCAGGCGAGGGCCCCGAGCGGCCAGCAAGGCCGTCGCTTCTCAGGTCGGACGAGCCGGCTGGACGCGGCTCGCCCGCAGAGTCACCCTGCTGTTCTCGGGCTCTGCGCGCCTTTCCAAGACGCCCCAATTCCCCCCGTTTGCGACTTCGCTTTGCCCGGCTTCTCACGACTAACCTGCTTCCAGGTGACCGTGTTCAGAATGGGTTCCGAGGGTCAGCAGGACATGGAGATGGCGATTCTGACGGCCCTGCTGAAAGGTGAGCTCTCGGGGGGCTGGCGACCCCGTCCCTCCGGGGCCTCGCGGATGCTGGGAGCTGGGGCTATGAGCTCTCGGGGGGTTGGAGACCCCATCCCTCTAGGGCCTCGCGGGTGTGGGAGCTGGGGCCGTTGGAGCTGGGAAGCTGCGGTGCAGTGACGAGCCTGGGTGGCTTTGGGGGAGGGAGCTCCCGTGGGTTCCCACGGCCAGCGATGGCTGACGTCAGGACCGGTTTCCACGTGTAACCGGTTCATCACGGATTTCGATTCCCGGAGGGCGAACACAAACGTCCCTTTGCCGCACTGCTGCTTGTGATCGCTCCACCCTGCAGTGTCCTGTCCGACTTCCCGGCCCACGTCCGATGGCAGGCTGCGAGCCGGCCGCTCATGGGGCTGCTCGGGGACGGGCGCGTCCTGCCTGCTTCGTGGCTGTATTGGGACTATAACAGGGCGGCAGCAGAGAGGAAGGTGTCACCAGCGGGCTGGCTGCCCGGCCATGCTGAGCTGGCCTCCCCGTAGCTGGGGGCAGCACCCCTCGGCCGGGCCAGGCCAGGCCTGGACAGACCCAGGCCTCCTGCCCTCTTGCAGGTGAGGGTCCCAGAGTCACTGGGTTCCTCCTCTGTCCCCCCAGAGCAGAGCAGAGGCAGCGGTGCTACACAGACGGACCAGAACCACGCAGGGCCAGCCCGGGGGCCGTGCTCACCGCCCGGCACCCACCGAGCCCGGCAGTCCAGGCCCAGAGTGACCAGCGCCTGTTTCTTGCCATTCCAGGCACAAACGCATCCGCGCCCGACCAGCTGAGCTTGGCGCTGGCTTGGAATCGCGTGGACATCGCGCGAAGCCAGATCTTCGTCTTCGGGCCTCACTGGCCGGTGAAACTACGTGTTTTTCAGTTGACGCCGTGTAACCTGAACGTGTGCCGTGACGTGTCCGTGTGTTCTCTTTGGCGTCACCGTCTCGGGAAGTCGTCCGGGGTTTTGATGGTCCAGGGTGTGATCAGGTGTCGCTATGTAACATGACAGAGCCAGGAGGAACTGAGAGCTAGTAGCACCAATCAAAGATTCTGGCCAGCGCTCTTAAGAAACGATCACTAAATGTCTCCGGCCACGCCACCCTGAACGCGCCCGATCCCGTCCGATCTCGGAAGCTAAGCAGGGTCGGGCCTGGTTAGCACTTGGATGGGAGGCCACCTAGGAAGACTAGGTTCTGTAGGCATAAAAACTAAGGGACTATAAGCTGACAAGGTCCTTGCAATCGGTGAGGTCAACCAAGGGTTGCCTCACCTAAAAAAAAAGAAGAAAAAAAATAGAAACGACCACTAAATATGTTAATGTTGCTGGTGAAAGCGTGTTTTACCCTCTTAAAGAAGAAAATAGCTCATTAAAATTAAACACAATGATTGTATTGAGAGTTTAGATTTTTCAAACTATGTTCCACAAAACCCTGGAGGCCCGGAGAAGTCCGTGTGTGTGTGTGTGCGCGCGTGTGTGTGTGCGCATGTGTGGTTCAGTGTGCTGTTTATGTGTCTGTGTGTAGCATGTTTGTAGAGTGTGTATATGTGAGGCGGGATGCATGTGGCATCTGTGTCATATGTATGATGCATAAGGGGTGTCGCCGTGTGGCATGTGTGTGATATCTGTGTCACATGTATGTGACGGGTGTCGGCGTGTGGTTTGCATGTGGTATCTGTGTCACATGTGTGATATGTGGGCTGTCGGCGTGTGGCTTGTGTGGTATCTGTGTCGCATGTATGATACGTGAGGGTGTCAGCATGTGGCATCTGTGTCACATGTATGATATGTGAGGGGTGTCAACGTGTGGCTTGTGTGTGGCATCTGTGTCACATGCATGATACATGAGGGGTGTCGATGTGTGGCTTGCATGTGGTATCTGTGTCACATGTGTGATATGTGGGGTGTCGGTGTGTGGCTTGCATGTGGTGTCTGTGTCACATAGATGATACGTGAGGGGTGTCAGCGTGTGGCATGTGTGTGGCATGCATGTGGCATGTGTCACATGTATGACACGTGAGGGGTGTCGGCGTGTGGCATGTGTGTGGTATCTGTCACATGCATGATACATGAGGGGTGTCAACATGTGGCTTGCGTGTGATATCTGTGTCACATGTATATGTGAGGGGTGTCGGCATGTGGTTTGCATGTGGTATTTGTGTCACATGCATGATATGTGAGGGGTGTCGGTGTGTGGCATGCGTGTGGCATGTGTCACATGTATGATGTGAGGGGTGTCGGTGTGTGGCATGTGTGGCATGTGTCACATGTATGATACGTGAGGGGTGTTGGTGTGTGGCATGTGTGTGGCATGTGTCACATGTATGATACGTGAGGGGTGTTGGTGTGTGGCATGTGTGTGGCATGTGTCACATGTATGATACGTGAGGGGTGTTGGTGTGTGGCATGTGTGTGGCACTCTGACTTTCTGTTCCAAGAGCGGAAAAACTGGGAGGTTAAAAAGGAAATTAAAATATTTACCATACCGCACGCTTCTTCCTAATTTGCATAATTCGCCGGGTAACACGGCCGGCCCGTCACCCTGTCAGAACACGCAGGAGACCTCTGCCCAGATGCGCTCCGGCCGCGTGCGTCCCGACGGGCATCTGCGGCTGCACACGCCGCCTCTGACCCCTTCGCCGTCACCCTCTCCCAGCCGCGTGAGCGACCGTCACACTTCTCCCTAGGGCCGTGGTGTGGGCCTGTCAGCACCATCGGCTCTGGGGAGAAACACAACGGTCCCAACATCGGCCACGCGGAGCGCGTATTTATCCCTCACCAGGCGTGGGTCACAAGGCGTCATGACGTCGGAGCGTCTCCAGCACACAGCCAGGCCTGCGATGACCGCGCGTGCGTGCGTGCTGTCCTCGTGTGCGTGCGTGCGCGTGTGTGCACGTGTGCGTGCACGCAGAGCTGAGGCCACTGCGGCTTCGGCCTTTCCTAACTCCGCGTGCTGTGGACCGCAGCCCCTGGGAAGCCTGGCGCCCCCGCCGGATAGCAAGGTCACGGAGAAGGAGAAGAAGCCACCCACGGCCACCACCAAGGCGGGCAGAGGGAAAGCGAAGGGCAAGAAGAAAGGGAAAGCGAAGGAGGAGGAGGAGGAAGAGACCGACCCCCGGAAGCTCGAGCTGCTGAACTGGGTATGCGCGTGGCCCCGCCCCCTGCCGGGGTCACGGGTGTGGCCCCGCCCCCTCTGCCGGGGTCACGGGTGTGGTCCCGCCCCCTCAGCCGGGGTCACGAGGGTCGTGGGGGATGCGTGTGGTCCCGCCCCCTCAGCCGGGGTCACAGGGGTCGTGGGGGATGCGTGTGGCCCCGCCCACTCTGCCCGGGGTCACGGGGGTCGTGGGGGATGCGTGTGGCCCCGCCCACTCTGCCCGGGGTCACGGGGTCGTGGGGGATGCGTGTGGTCTTGTCCCACAGCGGGGGTCATGAGGGGCGTGGGAAAGGGCCATTCTGGGTACCTTCGCTTCAGTCCCATCCTGGGCCCCGAGTCCCCACAGGCCGTGGGGAAACCATCATGGGATTGTGTCAGCACTTCGACCAGCGAGGCCGCCTTCGCTGTGACGTGGCTGCAGGTTGTCGCGCACGCCGAGTTCGCGGCTTTGGGGGCGGA